TTCTGACCAAAAGTAGCTTGGGGAGGAAAGGATTTCCTTGGTTTACATTTCCAGGTCCCAGTTCATCATTGAAGGGAGTCAGGGCAGGAACTCAAGCAAGAAAAACAGAAGCAGAAACCAGGGAGGAGCACCCCTGTAGGCTCACTCTCAGGCCCATGCTCAGACAGCTTCCCTTTCCAGCCTAGAACTACCTGGAATGGGCACTATCCACAGTGAGCTGGGCCATCCTAAGTCAACTCACAGTCAAGACAACCCCTACAGATATGCCAGTCTGATCTTGGAAATCCCTTGACTGAGTCTCCCTTCTCAGATAACCCCAGGCTGTGTCAAGCTTACAAGGACACCAAGCTTCTCTGCCCAAGACTTCCATTCAAACCTATTACCTGGGCTCTTTTTTCTGATCCCTTGTGCCCAGGTTCTACAGACACCCCTTCTGTTGCTAATCACACCAAACGCAGGAAATGGCAGATCACTGTGACGTACACCAGCACACAGCTAGAACATGCCTGTATGTGTTTCCTCACTGCCAGCAAGCCCCATCGTGTCTAGGAAAGTGCCTGTAGCTCATAGAGACCAAGAATCTCCATCTGCTTCCCACAGCCCACGAAAGGCTGTTTGGTCCTTATATACTGTCTTTAATAGCTTTGCAATTCTTCTTATTTGGAGACCTGACATTCGTTGGTTCTGTGGCTAACTACTAAAATAGTAAATGCACCAATAGGCAAGGAATTTGTCTCTTCTGTGAAATATGGTAATACAGAAATAGATTTTAGGGAGTTAGGAATTGGTCCCTTCTGTGAAATACAGTAGTACAGAAATAGATTGAAGGTAGTTAAAAAATTGTTTTTACCTTCTGGTAGAAGGTATTAAGGATTCCCTGATAAACTGCTCACCCTTCCAACTAACAAGGCTGGGAACACTGCCCCATATCCCATTGAGAGTCAAGAGGATACCAGTCCCTCGCATGTCTTTTAAACGTCATTATCTTTTTCACATGACAGATCCCCTTTGAAGTTGTTCCACTTGGCTACCTTCCCATTGGGGCTGCTGCTTACATTTCAAGTGACTTGAGGAGTGGCAGGAGGAGCCCTCACAAGTGTGTTAGACCCAGATATCAGATGACTGCTTTAACTCGGCATTGCAAGGAAGTCTCCGGCTCAGCTCCTATAACATTTGGGAAGTCACTGCGACCACAGCAAGCCGAGTGGGGCTGCTGCACACCCAGGGGCTCTGGTCCAGGGTGCAATTAATGGGATCCTTAAGGGGGAAAACATTTCTAAATTTGTATAGAGCCGTAAGCCCATAAGCTGAAAACCCTCCCTGTCATGAAAGCCGCCGCACTGACTTCTGGTTGGCAGCTTTATCTTACTGTGTACATTACATGTCCCGGATGTTTACAAAGTCCTCAAGCGGATTTAAAATTTAACAGCTTTGGAAGTATGCAGGGTAGGAGCAAACGTAAACACTGCGTGAGAGATCAGTCTGTGGGGCTCCGCGGCGGATGCTGAGCAGGTGTCTAGGGGCGCCCTACATCCTCCCAATCACTGGCAGATTTATTAATTACATCTATAAGACCGAGAAGAAATTCATTCATGAGATGTTTTTCAGGAGTAACCTTCTATGCTGTTAGACATGGACACGATTTGCTTCATGCTGGCTAGCCAGGTGTAAGCTTTTCAGAATACATCAAAAATGAAAGAATGCTGAGGTCTTGGGCGGCATTAAGCATTCTGTGACATTTTCTTCTAAGTTGCACAAATTTCAAGCTTCCAGGAGACTCTAAAGTTCATGGGCTTCAGGGATTGGCCACACAAATGGGTGCAGCCCTTCGGCTAAGACAGGCAAGGGGTGTTGATTCCTGTGCTCATGTGGTGCACTGTCTCTAAAGGAGTTGAATTTCTTCGCTTCTGTTTCAGAGGGAGTAATACAGCTCAATTTGTGTATTTAGATCCCCTGAAAATGAGCATGCTCAGGCCGGTGTGATAGCATAAATCTCCAGTACTCACCCTAAGGGAGAAGAGACTGGGGAATCACCCACCAAGGGTTGGGGCCAGCCTGTCTACGAAGGAAGAGCCATGCCAGCCAGGCCCACAGAGAGAGACCTTAGCTCCCGAAACAAGAAAGAAAGCTGAGGATATGGCCCAGTTGGTAGAGTTCTTGCCTTAAATCCATGAGTCCTTGGGCTTGATTAAAAAAAAAAAGTATAAGAAGGAAGGAAGGAAGGAAGGAAGGAAGGAAGGAAGGAAGGAAGGAAGGAAGGAAGGAAGGAAGGAAGGAGACAGAAAGGAGGAAAGAAGGCAGGGGCAGGGAGGGGGAGAGTGGCCAAAAAGGAAATGGAGGGAGGGAAGGAGAGTGGGAGGAAAGAGGGATGGGGGAAGGGAAAAAAGTAAATAAAATGAGAACTCCTACCCCAGCACCCTTCAGCTCATTCTGATGCCCAGTCCTCTCCCCAGAATATCCTAGGTCGAGGACTTACCTTTACCAAACAAGGGTTTACTCCTCGCCCACCTGGTATACTACAGAGAACTGGCCTGAATTCTTTTTCCTTTCAGTGCATCTGCATACTCCAAGTCAGAAGTAGACCAAACAAGTACTGTACCACTGAGCTTCACTCCTATCTCTCAGAAGGGTTCGTTCCCGAAGAGTAAGGGTCACATCCATGCATGGTTTTTTGTTTTGTTTGTTTTTTTATTTATTTTTTTTTTGTTTATTTTGTTTTGTTTTTGAGACAGCATTTCTCTGTGTAGCTGTGGCTATCCTGGAACTCACTCCATAAACCAGGCTAGCCTTTCACTCACAGAGCTCCCTCTGTCTCTCTCTGCCTCCCAAGTGCTGGGATTAAAGGCCCCCACCGCTCTGTCCATGCATGAATTTTTAAATGCGCAATTTCCAAGCCCTTCGATGATTCCGACACAGCTCACTGCACCATGCCCTGCAGGAAGAATTCCCAGGGAGCACCAGTGTGCTGCTGGCCTGAAGTGCTCCCGGCTCCCCCGGCCCTCTTCCCATGAAGGACTCTTGAGGGCTCCTGACTTCTCTTAGCAGCCCCAGACTCCATGGTTCATAAGCACTTACCAGACACTTTGAAAAAACAGATCTGCCTCAGGTTTTCAGCTCAGGACCTGGGCACCTTAGCCTTTGCTGTCATTTAGGGTGTGACATTGGCATTCTGAGAGTCACCATTCCACATGGCCCTTCAAACAGATCCCATTCCCCTCCTCAGGAATGTACCAATCGCTGCTGTAACGCCAGCACCTGTACTCTGAAGCCGGATGCTGTGTGCGCACACGGCCAGTGCTGCGAGGACTGCCGGGTGAGTCCAGCTTGGCCGGGGGGTTCTGGCTGGTGTGGGTGGCTCCAGTCTGATGCAAGGGAAGTAGTCTGGTGAGCTGCTTTCCCCGAGACCATCCTGAGAGGGAAGCTGCCCTTTCACCAGTCGGTACCATCTAGTAGTTCTTAGAACTTTCTGGTCTGGTAAAATGCACAGTTTAATTGCTAACTCTTGTGATACGGCCCGTGGACTAAAAAACTAACAGGACTGAGAAAGCCAATCTCAACCCTAATAGTCCATGTCTGCTTGTGGGCATCCTAACTCCATGAGAAAAGCAATGACAGGAGAGCCTCGCCTTACCCCTGCCACTCAGCCTCATGCCAGGTCCACCTGCCTGATGCCAATGTCTGGCAGCTGGCAGAGAAGCCATTCTGCTGGTTCCTGGGATGTCTGCACCGACAGAAAGTGTGGACCACCCTGAACTGCCAGAGTGGCAACTGCCTGGCTTGCTGTTTGCGCTGCTCTGACTGCTCTTGCCTTGGCATTTCTGCCATTCATCCTGTTTATTTAGAATGCATGTCTATCGGGAGAGGCCTGACCATGAGAGGGTTCCTAGGGTAGGCGTTTATGTCTTGATACTTAAGCAGTTGATCTTGGCACAAGGATGGCAGGAAACTCCATGATCCACCCCACCCAAGCACATCATTTAGAAGTGGGTTATAATGATGTATGTGTGTCTGTGTGTGAGTGTGTATATGAATGTGTGCATGTGGAAGTGTGGATGTGCATACGTGTGTGTGCATTTATGTGTGTGTATTCATGTGTGTGGCGTGAATGTGTATGAGTGTGTATGTGTATGCGTGTGTGTGTGCATTGTAAGTGTATGAGTGTGTGTGTATGTGTGTGTGTGTGTATCCCCTCCTGATGCTCACTAAGTTCTGGAAAATGTTGTAAGAAGTACCCAGTACTCAGGTACCCAGTTACTAGTGCTGGAGAGTGCTGGGAAGGGGATGAGCCTACACTGAATAAGGCTCAAGGAGGGAGGGATATGTGGGTACAACTTCATCCACTTCTGCAGCTTTCCAGTAATTCCTTCCAAACTTCAGACTTTCCAGGAGTTGGTAGGTGATTCACCTTGTTGCCTTTGGGAGTATGCAGGCCAACCAAACCCCAGACTTGGTGGCCTTGACTGTGAAGCTCAAACAAGCTCCCTTGAACCTTCATTTCTTCAGTCTAAAAGATGAGCTGCTTCTCAGACAGAGGTCTAAGAGCCCTCACTGAGAGCCACTACCACTGCTGATTCTGCTGCCACCTCCTGGTCCTTCTCCCAATCCTCCTCCTATCCTTCCTGCCACTCCACTTCATAAAGTGATAAAGAGGCCCTGGTTCTTTAACCGGATGACAGGATAGCCCTGTTATTGCGAGTCTGATCTTGCTGATTTTGCTACCTTGCCTAAAAATACCTGAAGATGAGGATAAGGCATGTGATGGTGTTGACAGCCTGAGAAAAGGCTCGCCTCTTCACCAAGAGACTGAACAAGAGCCAGACTGTCTACTCCTTGGGGAACCTGGTTATTACCTGCAGTTCCCACATGAGCTCTTCTTGGTTGCCCACCCAGCCTTATAGGGCAAATATGAACGTACAAAACCAGTTAAGGAGAACTCTCTGCCATCAAAGGGAATGATGCTGAAATCCCCACCTGTTTACACAGCCGTAGTAGGTGGCCTGTTGCAGTCTGCCCCAGGAGAGCTACTGAGGGTCACTTCCTCCTACTTGGTATATGTGACATAAGCCACCTTGTCATTTCAGCTGAAGCCTCCAGGAACTGCATGCAGACCCTCCAGCAATTCCTGTGACCTCCCAGAATTCTGTACAGGGACTGCCCCGCACTGCCCAGCCAATGTGTACCTTCATGATGGGCACCCGTGTCAGGGAGTGGATGGTTACTGCTACAACGGCATCTGCCAGACCCACGAGCAACAGTGTGTCACACTCTGGGGACCAGGTACGTGGCCTCTTCAGTTCTGTAAGGGACACTGAAGATGTACGTTCTATGTCCATGAATCTGTATTCCTCCATGTAGGCCCATCCTGCTCTGCAGTGAGGTTCAAACTCTGAGATGGGAAGTCTGCTTCTGCAGGAGGCATGGCTAGGGTTTAAGCCTGGTCACTGTGACCCGTCATCTGGGCATAACTCTCACAGTGTTCGGTCACTCCCATGAGCAGACGCGGCCTTGATCTAAAGTCCCATTAAGGTTCTAAAAATGCAGATTAAATCTTAGGGCCCTGCCTGTAAATCTCTTCTGGGCTCCACTCTGAAGTCAGATTCAGGGTCTCATGGGGCAGCCTAGACACTGGGGTCTTACTGCTTAAAAGCCTCACTACCCCAGACCTCACTACAAGGAGTTCTCAGTACCCAGGGATCTCACCCTACCCTGAAGACCTCACTGTCCCAGGGGTTTATCACTCTAACCCTTATTACTAGGGGATCTTGCCACTCCGGGGAGGGCCTCATTACCTAGAAACCATTCTGGATCAACTTCATTTACAGCTCCTGGGATCCTGGCTAGGAATCCCACTGGGGATGTTTTCTGAGTGTGGTATAGTTCTTTTTTTCCATTGAGTTTGGCTGAGTCCTCACTTACAGCTAAGAGATGACCTCAGACCTGGCCAGAGGCCCCAGTACCAGCAAGGCCGCTATGGTCAGCCAGACTCAGACCTCGAGCTAAGCCAGCTCTGGGGGAAACCAGAGACTCTCTATAAGGTTCTGGTTTCCAGAGGGATAAGGGGAGTCAACCAGGGCAGAAAATGATGACCAAACCCTGAAGCCTGGGTTTAACTGCTGTGTGGGTGCAACTCCCAACCCTGGAGAGTTCTCAAATGCCCAGCCAAGATGCCCCCTCACTTGGAGCTTTCTGGGGAAGAAGAAAGTGTGGGCTGGTGGCTCCCATAAGCGGATGTACCCTGGACAGGTAGAATAAAGAGTCCTGAAACTCCCAGCCCTTCACACTTCCTCTTTCGAGTCTCAGTGCTGGCTCCCTCACCTGATGCCCATGAGATTCTTAAGACATAGGTAGATATCACCATTACAGCAACACATACCGGAAGACCTTTGTTATACACGTGTCAAATGGCCCTAGGACTCTGGAGGGATTAGAGAGTTCAGATACCTTTTAGCCAACCAAGGTCACTTTAGGACAGGGGTTTAGTGCAACAGGCCTCAGACACCTCTGGTGGTCCTTCTACAGGCAGGAAGCTCCCATAAAGTTACAGTGGCTCTTCTGCTGCTCCCTTTATGGGTGCTGGCCTTGGCCCATGGAGCTTTTCAGTGCCCAGCTGTGCTAGGAGACCTGGCCCCAGCTCCGGCATGAGCTCAGATGGTACAGCACAGCATTCCCCAAACCACTGTGCTGTGTAGCTCTGCTGGCTGTCATGGTGACCAAAGCAGGTGGGGAAAATAAGGAGGGGGAGACAGACAAATAGAGATTGAGATCCGTGAGATCTGATGTCAGTAAAGTGCTGACCAGGAAAGCATGAGGACAAAGCCCTGATCCATTTTTACATAAGTAAAATGCTGAGCAGGGCAGCACAAGCCTGTAATCCCACCTCCAGGGACAGAGAGACAGCAGACCCCTGGGGCTTGCTCTAGCCAGCCCACCCAGTCACCAAGCCCCTATAGGACAGAGAACCTGTCTCAAAATTGAGATCGAGAAGTGACAGAGGAAGACAGCCAACGCTGACCTCTCCCATGATATGCATATTCAAGGGGCAGGGCCGGGGAATGGGGACAGAGATGTGTGCTCACTAGACATGCAGAAGCCACCTGACTGATAGATGGGCTTCTCAGAAGCAAGAGCATCAGCCTTCTTGAAGGCTCCCCATCTTGGTAGCTGAAACTGAAGTCTGATAGCATTATAATCTGCACACTGTCCTGAAGAGGGGGCATTTCCCCCAAGAGCCCCCCACTTAGTTCTTTTCTCTCCGGCCCACCTCCTCCCTGGTGCCTGGGATGGTTGAAATGGTTCTTTGCACTAGGTGCTAAGAAAATCAGGGTGTCTAGGTCTGGGGAACCACCTCAGGCAGTGACTTCCTGGGTTTCAATGTGCCCCCACCAGACCTTTCTCAACCCAGATTGTAAAAGAACATCCTCAGCAGAGAGGGGACAGACAGGGCCTCCGGGTGACTGAGACCATGACTTCTTTGCCACCCCTCGCATTATGTCATGACCCTTTCCCTCCATATCAGTGAGACTGGCTTTCCAGTTGACACTTTGAGAGTTACCTGTGGTCAGGGCCTTAGCAACTCGTGACAGGAAAAGTCACAGCTTCTATTTCTGAAGACCAGAGACCTCAGATCCAGGTGCTGGGAGGATGTAGCGCATCCAGAAATTTGGGGGGAGAATGTTGTCTCGCTGGCTTTTCCAGCTTTCCAAGGTTACCAATGTTCTTGACTGGGCCCCGCCCTTCCTCCGTCACGGCCAGCCGTGCAGCTGTCTGGCTGGCTCCTCTGACCTCTGCTTCTGTAGTCTTCTGGCTCTGCCCCTCCTGTTTCCCTTGCAAGTACCCATATGACTGTATTAGGCCCACCCAGGTCTCCATCTTTACCTCTTCCCATCTCAAGTTCTCTAAATGAAATGTCTGCAGAGTCCCTTTTGTCCTATAAGGTAACACACTCCGGGGTCCAGGCTGGAGAGAATGGGCTGGTGTTGAACACTGAGGCTGAACCCCTCTCTATTCCTTCAGAAAATTTCTGAACCTTCTTGGAGCGCAGCTGTGAAGTGGAATGAGTGTCCTACCTACCCCTGCACGTCACATCCTCGACTGTAGTCCACGCTCGATTCTGTCTAGTAGAATGAACGTACGAACAGTCCTGGTGCTTGGCACCTGGTAACTCTTAACTTAGTCAATGCAATGTGAGTGTGTTCTCAAGAGATGCTCAAGACTTTGTAGAAAGGCCTCCAGGAGGACAGGACAGTGGGCGAGATGTGACGGAGAGAGGAAAGACCACCGGGGTTGAGGGTGGCGAGTAGCCAGGTTGAAGGAGTCTGAGAGATACTGCCCTGCAGTCATCATCCGTAAGAGGTAGTGTTTCCAGCATCCAGGACTGGGGAGAGGGCACAAAGGGGTGGCAGGGCCAAGGCAGGAAGTGCAGCTAGTTCTGTCTGTGTAGAGCTGTGACTTGGATGGCAGCAGAGACCCTCATCCGTCATTCATTCTCTCATTTGTTAAGTATTTGCTGACGTCCTGCTGGGTAGGAGATGCTGACTCAAGAGCCTGCTTGTGCCAGAGGAATGCACCGCCTGTTCCCTGCATGCTTTTCTCGGGATGTGACTCCCTCTGTCCCATCCTCCCAACAACTACCACTAAGCCCTTACCCTGCCCTGGGTGGATGTAGCCCCAGGGGCAGAGGTGACTTCCTGGGCTGGGGTCCTGGCCAGCCAGATGTGCTGGGCTGAGAGCATTAGAGTGTTGCAGCGGTCGGTTCAAATGAACTTTCCATGATTCAGGAAGGAAGCCCTTGTCCAGGATGCATTTGCGGTGTCTCATCTTCCCACTCAACAGCAAGAGCCCAGAGCTAGACCATGCTGTGTCAGGGTCATAGAAGACGTCCTGGGAATGGGGTCGCTCAGAACTCTAGGGCTCCCTGAGTCATTGCTTGGATGGCTGTGTCATTCGTACCCAGTGACCTGGCCAAGTTGTTGAGTAACCTCAAATTCTCTGGTTACATCCAGGATGTCTGTTATTCATGCCTCGGAGCTAGCTATCCGAAGCTGACCGGATAAAGCCCTTCCTTCCAGCTAGCTTTTCCCTTTTGAGATGGACCTTTCTCAGTCCAGCATTAGATTTCAATAAAATCCTCCTGCTTCCAAGTCTCCCTAGAAATAAAGCCAGAGAAAATTCAAAGCATGTGCCTGCACCTCTGAAGTGGCAGTGGGACAAACTTTCAGAAGACGTCTGTGGGGTTTGTTCATTTACTTGTTTTTTTTTTTTTAATCTAATTATTATTAGTAGTATTGTTGAAGCTCTCCCTGTTGGCTGGGGAAGTTTTCTTTTCCGACCTGATTGTCTACCACATCTTGCAGTTAGCGTGTGCAAGTTGAGGCCAGGACTTGACATCAAGTGCTGTCCTCAGTCACTCCCCACCTTATTTTCTGAGACAGAGTCGCTCAAGAACCTGAACACTGGCTTGGCTGGACTGGCAGTCAGGGAGTTCCAGGGACCCTCCTGTCGCGGCTTTCCGTTGCTGGGATCACAGGCATGTTCCGCCAGGCCACGTTTTTTCTGTGGGTGCTGGGGATCTGAACTCAGGTCCTCACGCTTGAATAGCCAACACTTTGCCCACTGAGCTGTCTGTCTCCCTAGCTTGCTGTCTCAAGATTTTAGATGTTGGCATCCCAGACACAACATTATCTGCAGTTCAAACGGGTACTGAGCTTCTTATTCCAGTTCAGTCTTAATATTCAGGAAGCTTTTCTGTTGCCATGGCATGACCTTTATTCCTGCTAAAACACAGCTGGGGTTTTTCCTCAGGCTGAAGATTTCCTTTCAGCAGTGCTGTCTGCCAGCGCCACTAGCCTAGTGATGGAGAACATTAGACTATTAACATCACAGGTATGTTACATGATCACCACAGGCCAAAAGCCACTGATTTTCCCTTGGAGGGGACCCCAGACTTGCTGTTAGTGTCCATCTTATCACTCACCAGATTCTCCTGTCATTGATTTATGTCACACCAGCTGACCAGATAAGTTTTATGGGCTCGTAAATATCCAGTGTTTATCTACAAGGCTGGTTTAAATGAGCCCAATTAACTTGAAATCCACTCAGGGCCCTGTATGTACTGATCGCCTACTGTAACTGACGGTTGCGGAGGGGAAGAAAGGATACTTTGCCAAGAGGCCTATTGTTGGCGACCCAGGAAAGCCTTGTTCCATCGTGTGAGAGGGAAATGATAGCATTTGTTCATTTGAGCTTCATTCCCTGGTAAAGGCAGAGGCCGACTTGGAGAGAACGGAAGGGCAGATGCCACCCGCTTATGTCAGTGCCTTTGTCTGCGGGTTTAAGTGACAGGAATTGACAAAGAGAAAGGAGCAGACTGGCCTGGACCAGAGCAGCGTGTTTGCAGATGAAGATCATCTCAAGGAGAGGCTCAGAATGAATAAACCTGGGGCTCCATTCAAGGTGCTGTCATCTCCGTTTCCTTTTCAGAGGACACCATGACATTGAGAACTTCCAGACTCAGTTACAAGTGTGAGCCACTGTGCTCAAAGCCAAAACTGGTGATTAAAATGCAGAACAGTGTCAAGACTCCCTCGGAAAGGCTCAGCTTTATCTCCTGCTAGTGGCCAAGCACTGAGCGTTCCCTTATTAAGAACTCAAAGGCTTTAATTGATGTAGCACTGGAGCGATAAGAAGACTGTTGCCATTCTGTCCACGAGAGAGATGTGCGGTCTCTCACCTTCGTGAAAACACACAGTGCAGAATTTTTAAGCACAGCAACTTCAAGACTGCATCTCTGCCTTTGCCATGCTTGCATCTCTGCTTTTACCATGCCTGCATCTCTACTTTTGCCATGCCTTACATGCCAAGACTTTGCAAATTCTTCACCATTCTGCCTCAAAGACAAGCACCAGCTGGCAGCTGGCATACAAAAACCATGCCGAACACTAGCGTGTCACTCTCCTTACGGACTCGGTGAGAGGCTGAGAGTGTCGGCTCAGAAGGCCGTCTGTGATTTGGCTTCCTTTTTATCCCTTTCTCTTGATGATGGATCCTTTGAATGTCAAGATGCATCCCATTTAGAATCCCTCTGCCCCGCTTCTGAGTTTTCAGACTTGAACTTCACCTCTGAGAGAACAGCGATTTATTTTTCCCCAAAGCCAAGCCTCTGTCTTCATGCATGCGGCTTTATGTGGAGCGACATGACAGCATTTCATCTGGTGCCAGGGAGCAGGTGAAAATCCACAGCTGCAGAAGAGAACCCTGGGGAGATGTGTCCACGGCCCTGGGGACTTCGTTTGCTGAGCACAAATGGCTGCCTCTGGGAGTGTTGGAGATAGGAGGCTGGCCCAAGGGCCTGATGCTCATTTCTTCATGAATATCCTGCTCTTTGCAGTCAGTAGGCAATATATATGGTAAATACAAGGAAGATTCATGAGAGAAAGGGGAAAATGAGCCAGGATTATGCCCAGCGAGCTCCACGAAAAGGGAGAAACAGAAGAAGGCCCTGAGGGACCCAGAAGCCCTCGATCCATTTAGACCAGCATTGACCCTATCATGTGAGATGGATTGCTCTGGCCAGAAAGAAGTCTTAAAGTCCATCCCTCCGGCATTGCGTGCGAAAGTCAGCACTTCCCTGACCATGTAAATGGTACTCCTCTAAGAAAAGCATAATGTTCCTGGAAGTAGGAATACAGTAGATATACGAGGCCCAACCGTCAAACAATCTCATGTCTTCTACACTGCGACTTATTATCAATAAAGCAGATTTCACTTCAGATCATCAGGGGAAACCCCTCCGCACTGGCTCTCCTGTAGAAGGAAGTTACGCCGTGGGAGGGTGTGGTTGGTGAACAGCACTCGAGGGAACAATGCTAAGAAGTGCCCATGAGCTCTAGCTGGGGACATATTGGTTCCAGAAAGCAGCCTGGCAAGTTGGAGGTAGTCAGATGAGGCATGAGAACTGAACTAAGCTTCAGCTGTTCGCATCTTTATAAGTTTGATTCCACTTGATCTTTAGCCTTGAAATACCTGTTTCTGGCAAGGGGTATCCCTCACACCCCAAAGACTCTGTCGTGGGAAACATTAGACAATCGGATGAGGGCCGGCATTTCACATGGAGCTCTGTTCGTTGCTTCCTGTCTTCCCGCCCCACCCCCATCATTCAGAGCAGCTTCGGGGTGTTGATGGGAACTGCCAGTCTGGGGCTGCTGGAGGGTGGAGAAGGGAAACCATCGTTCTGTGCTCTCCACAGACAGGAACACAGAAAAGGTACCGGGTGTGCTAGAGACAGCGTCTGGGCCATGGTCAGGAGTCTCTGTCTTGTTTCCCAGTTTACAGTAGCAGAGGAAGGCATGGCCCTGCTCCCTTCCACGTGTCCATTTCCTTTGTCTCATCACAAGTCATGGCTAAGGTCACTGACAGAGATACATCCTGCTTACGCACGTGTCAGCAGCAACCTGTGATACAGAGTTCCCTGCTCCTTCAGCGCTTCCTGGTTAATCTCAGGCTGCTGGGGAGAAAACTGTATTGGCCAAATTTCTTGAAACTTGTTATGTTAGAAACTGACGTCTCTTTACAAGTCATTTGGGAGGGGGTGGCATGTTTGTGTGTTCATATGCATGTTTTTTGTGCACATGGGCAAGGTATCCCATGTCATCCCCAGTCTTTATTTTCTGAGATAAACTCTTGCTAAACCTGGAATTCAGCAGCTCAGTTAGACTTACTGGCCAGCAGGTTGTAGGCATCCTCCTGTCTCTACCTCCTCAGCAGTGAAATCATAGGTACGTGCCTGGCTTTGTACAGGGATGCTGGGGATCTGAACGTAGCTCCTGAAAAGCACTTTACCAATCCAGCCACCTATCCAGTCCCTCTCTAAACGTCACCTTTGGGGATTTGTTTTCTTTCTTAGGAAGAGACGGGTCAACAAAAAGGCGTAAAACTACCTAGTGCCTCTCTGTAGCGTCTTCCAGTGGAGGAAAATCCCTCTAGGCACACACAGACTCTAGGCGGGTGTTGCCCAGATGGTCAGTATCTAAGAGGGAAGCAGGGAACAGCCAGTGTCATAGGCAATCAAGCTATTCTTCAGAAAAGGGCTGGTGGGCACAGGGTGAGGGAGATGAGACTTTATGGGAGAAAAGGAAGGTGATGCTGCAGAGACCAAGTGGTCTTTTCCTGCAACCCAGCATTAGTTCTGGTTGGGGCTGGTGTACCTTAGCCAGGAGCTCCAGGAGACCTGTCTAAAATGCTTACTGAGAATAAAGAAAGGAACATGCCAGGTATGGTGGCACACACCTTTAATCCCAGCACTTGGGAGGCAAGGGCAGGTGGATCTGTCTCTATGAGTTCAAAGGTAACCCAGTCTACAGGATGAGTTCTAGGATGACTTACATAGTGAGACCCTGTTTCAAAACAAACAAGCGAGCAAAGAGGAAACAGACAGTCTGGAATGGGACGACTAGTCCAGAGGTCTAGAGCAGGCACAGGCCCAACTCACATGGAAAGAGGGTGACAATGGTGAGCTGTGTGCTTTTGCCATGGAACAAGGCAGCCATTTCTGCTAGTAGCTGATAAGGGACCAGCCCAGGTTAAAGAACAATGAGTGTCCTTGCAGAGGAGGGAGGAAGCCCTGGCCTAGAGCCAAATCTGATTGGAATCTAGATTGCACTGTCACCTTAGAATGCCAACAGAGACTCCCTGGAGCTGGGAGCAGAGAATAGGGCAGGTCGGGACTTTGGGAAGTCACATCCTAGTCATTGAAAGGGCTGTGAAGGAAAATGTCCAAACCAGATGCTGGAAGGGGAAGCAGGCCAAGAGCGCATGGCCAGGCTCCGTTTGACCTGCCCCATTCCTGACGCCCTCACCGACACCAACAGATACCTTTGTGGCCGCCGAATAAGAGCCCTCCAAAGCTTTCTCCTGTAGCCCTCAATTCCTTGATCATTTCCCTGGCAGGAAGAGGTGGTCTTAAGAGGGGTCACTCCTGGGCTCTCTATGACCCACATCCACCAGCACCATCAGGGCATATCCCGTGACTATTGGCTCTGAGAACAGAGAACAATCTCTGCAGAAATAACCTTTCCCTGAAAACGGTGCTTACTCTTGGAGCTCTCTAGGACTGAAAGCAAAAGATTTCTGCATCCCTCTTACTCTCCCTCCTCTCATCCCCTCCCACACACACACAAGCCATCACTACTCCTTGAAGCCTGCCTAGCTTGTCTTTTCTCACCGGAATTGTGTGGGATGTTGTTACGGAGAGTAGCTTCCCCTTGTCTGCAGCCAGCCAGCCAGCCAACTCCCTCCTGCTCCTGACCAGATCCGATTACACAGTCCAGCCTAATCTCTTGAGAGTCTGCGCATGCCTTGGGTTCCAAATTGTAGTCTACAGCACAACACAGAAAAATGAGTGGGCTGGGCCAGGAGAGGATGCCAGCTGTGGGTCCTCCAGGTTGGCAGCAGCCCACTCCTGAGCCATCTGGGTACCATGTGCCACTTCTCCAAACATGGAATACCCCTCCCCTTAACCCCAAAGCCCAGTGCTGCTCAGAGGAAATCAGAAGCAGTGACGAGGAAGGGGCCATTGTTCTTCTGTTCCAGGTGCTAAACCAGCCCCTGGCATCTGCTTTGAGAGAGTCAACTCCGCAGGGGATCCTTATGGCAACTGTGGCAAAGACTCCAAGAGCGCCTTCGTCAAATGCGAGATGAGGTATGAGGCCACATTCCCTGCCTCCGTGGCGCTGAGCCCGTACACATGGCAGAGGCCACTCCACACCGCCCCTTTTCTGAGCTTGTGTATTCTTACCCTTCCAGAGATGCCAAGTGTGGAAAAATCCAGTGTCAAGGTGGCGCCAGTCGACCAGTCATTGGTACCAATGCCGTTTCCATAGAAACAAATATCCCACAGCAGGAAGGAGGTCGGATTCTGTGCCGGGGGACCCATGTGTACTTGGGCGATGACATGCCAGACCCAGGGCTTGTGCTTTCAGGAACAAAGTGTGCAGAAGGAAAAGTAAGAACCCAGTTCTCACTTGCTTCCTAATGTAAGTCTGGAACATAGCCACAGAAGAGCCTGCTTAGAAACTGGGGGAGGGGACCAGTTGATCTTCCTAAAGCTCCTCAGAGTATGGTCTCTGGAATCCAACTCTTTGTACCTAAAAGAAAAAGTCAGCCACGCTGAGGTCCCAATCTGAACTTTGAGACACGAATTAGGGGACGTGGGGTTTGCTTTCTCCCTTTAGCAGGAAGTATTTCTTCCCCTGGGCTTCAGGGGGGGACTCCTGCCAGGAAGTGACTTCAGAAAGAAACACTGCAGTGGAGTATCTTGCTTTGGAGAAATGGCAGAGCTTTGGGGGGCCTGTTCTCGCCTGGGCAAAGTGGTAAGTCAGCTGCATCTTCAGAGACTCTAGAGAAAGGAGGGGCACAGAGAGGGGGTCAGCTGAGAGATGGAAGGGGGTCCTTCAGGAGAACAAGGAGGAAAAACACTGAGATGCTTTTGGAGTTAAAAACTAAACCAAAAATTTTGAAGGAAGAAAGCAGGGGTTTTGAGTTCTGCCTCACTGGTTTATATATGGGCGTGTGTGCAGACATGAGTGTGGGTGGCTGGGCACTGCTGACAGAGGCAACCACTTCCACCTAGCCAAGGCCATGCAGCAAATAGGAGCCTCTACCGTGACTAGATAAACAGGGCCCTGGGGAGCATCCCTGCGGATGCTTTGTGTCACTAGTGACCCCCAAAGCCCTACACAAAACTCATAAGAAAATCAGTTGTACGTTCTCACTTCCACTGAAACCACCTTAAATGTCATTCGATATAAAAGAGCTTAATCAATGCTGTTCACATTGGACAAGTGTTGAATCATACCCCAATAGCCATGTCTGGGGTAAACAATACAAGTTATAATGTTCCATCCATGCTCACTAAAATGAGAGCCTTCTCCAGGTTTTCTATGCTTTATCTTTCATGTTAAGTGTGGAGGGTGTGTCCATGTTTGTCTGTGACCTGGGGAAGCCAGAGGTCAACCTCTGGTCTCTTGTCTAGTGACGTCCACTTGTTTTTTATAACAGTCTCTCACTGGAACTCAGGGCCGCTAGTTAGGATGTCCAGCGAGCTCCAGAGGTCCACCTTTCTCCACCAGCATACACTCCCATGCTCGGTTTTCTGTTTTTGTTTTTGTTTTTACATGGGCGTTGGGGATTGAACTCGGGTCCTTAGGTTTGCACAGCAAATATGTTACCAACAGCGCCATCTCTCAAGACCCCTGCTTTCTCTGTTTCGTGTGCCTATGAAAGGGAGGGGAGCAGAGGTACTGAGGCATGTGCTGTGTCTCCCACAGATCTGCCTCAATCGTCGATGTCAGAATGTCAGTGTCTTTGGGGTCCACAAGTGTGCAATGCAGTGTCATGGCCGAGGGGTAAGTAGGATTTGTCACCTCCACTCAGACAGCCCACAGCCAACTAATAGTTTTTCAGCTTTTCTGATGGATTTGTTTTATGTGCATGAATGTTTTGCCTCTGTGTATGTGTATGTGTGTGTGTGTGTGTGTGTGTGTGTGTGCCCGTGCACACACTGGTGCCTACAGAGGCCAAAGAGAGGGTCAGATTCCCCGGAACTAGAGTTACAGATGATTGTGAGCCACCATGTGAAGCTAGGACCAAACCCAGGTCCTGGTCCTCTGCAAGAGCATCAAATGCTCTTAACCACTGAGCCATCTCTCCAGCCCCTCCTACCTCTCTCCTGTAGCTTTTTAAAAGTTATAGTAGACAGTGAGCACCTCCTCAACATTTTCTTCCAGAGGCGTTAACTGTCTCTGACCTTTACATAGCAGGAGAAATGTCACTTTCATTTAACAAAGAAAATCAGATTGAGAGGTAATTATCTTTTGAATTAACATTCTGTGATATAAAGAAAGAATTTTGTCATCTTCAAAGTAATTTCGAAGCTAACCTTGCTTCATGAAGGGCTCGCATTAGCATTTCAAGCAGGGCTGTCCCTCTTGCTCCCAACAGCCCAAATATGTCTCAACCAAGATACTTGCTAAAGGGATTAAAATGAGGACATCAGATCTACCGAGCACATGTTCTTGAATGCCCTTGCCATGGGTTTTGACTACCACATGCCGCTGAGTTCTGAGAAGCTTTAGGGAAGAAAAGGACTCTAATTGTTTAAAACGCAATTTAGTTTTCCTGATGCAGTTCATTTTTTTCCAATGGGATTATATTAATCTTGATTAGCTGCACCAGTGGCTCATTTGTTCTCCTGGAGCTTTTCTACAGAAACCAGGCTCTCTCCTGTATTTTTAGACTATCTAGACACTTGGGATTATGGAGGTCTTTGCAAAATCACCAGCATGCTGTAACCATGACAGATTGCCGGGCCCGCCTCAGACAGGCGCATTGATGTTCTGTTCAGCTGACTCGGTATCAAACAGAATCTCTTCATGTCTTCATTGGATTATAGATTCCTCTCTAATGGCGGTAGACGAACAAGCCTGGCCCTTTTGTTTTAGCAACGATGCCAAGGCCAGTGTAATGGTGAGGATGTGCCCATAGTTACCTTGCTGGCTCAGAGAAAGTAGGGCAGAGGCCTCTCTTTGTGATACCTGTGGGGACATGTTGATTTGGAATAGCCAACTACGACTCTGTGTGGTAGTTAATCTCAACTGTGAACTTTGTGAGATCTAGAGTCACCTGGAAGACGGACCGATGGGCGTGCCTGTGGAAGAATTATCTTCCTGGGTTAACTGAGGTGGAAAACCACGCCCAGTATGGGTAGCATCATTCCCTGGGCTGGGATTCTAGACCATATAAAAAGGAGAAAGCTGAGCACAGAACTCATGGCTCTCAAATTCTTGACTGTGCACGTGATGTGAGCCCCTGTTTCAAGCTCCTGTCTCCATGACTCCCATCTATGAAGCACTTGGGACTGGGAACCAAAATTAACTCTTTCTTCTTTAAGTTTATTATTGCAGGGTATTTTATTACAGCATCCAAAAGAAACTAAGGCATTTTGTTACAGGTAGCTGACCCAATCCCTCTATGATGAGACCAGGCTCACCCCTAGTACCTCCAAGTAGGGACTCCGGACTGCAAACTCCTGCCTCAAGCTAAGATCACCCACACTAGGCAGGGTGTGAGTCTCAGGGGTGGTTTGCCAGCTGCAGCACCTTTGCCAGGTATCGAGGACGTCCCACAGACACTAGAGAGCTGTCTGTCCCGCTCGCTCTCGACCAGCCCAGGTTGTGGTGGATGTGCAACCCTGCCATGTGAGCCTTGCCTCGTCACTAAAACAAAAGAACTACGTTAACCCATCCCTTACAACCATTAGAAAGAACTCTGCAACTCGGTGACCACAGGTGCTCTGCGAAAGAAAGAACCCTGATTAGCAGGAGTGCCCTAGAAAACATCCCTGCTTCCCACGGGCTCCGCTGACTGTTTGTCTCCACAGAGGAAGCAACTGGACAAGTGATTGGATCCTTCACAGAAGCCAGTTAGAGCAGGGAACCACTACAAGCAAGACACGGGCTGCAAATGTTTTGTTTGCCTGCAAATACTCAGGCATATTTGACCCCGGTGTTTTTATGCAGGCCCTAGAGTTGTTTACCAGTTCCACTGACTTCCATACAGCGAGGGAGCCACCCAGAAATTCGTCGCCTATAATTTACAGTGTTTAGATGGAAGGAAGTACAGATACCAGTCATCTGGGCTCGCAGTCCTTGACCTGGGCAGCTCTTCCCCAGTCATCCTACTGCTGTCCTGCCCCTCCCTCATCTGTCAGGTGGACTTTTGTTCAGTGCCCCCAACGCTTAGCCTGCTTTTCAGAAAACAAGCCAGGCAGACTCCTGCACCTGAGACTGGAGCTCAGTGGTGGAGTGCTTACCTAGCACGTACAAAGCTCTGAGTTTGATCTCCAGGCCCTCATAAAGTGGGGATGGTGAGACACACCTAGAATCTCTCAGCACTCAGAAGGTGGAGGCAGGAGACTCGGAGAGAAATTCGAAGGCACTCTTACTCATATAGCTAGTTCAAAGCTAGCCTGGAATGCATGGGACCCTGTCACAAAAAAAAAAAATTAAAAAGAAAATCTTCTGGTTTTCACACACTCAAAATCAATTGGTTTATATCCAGTTTGGTGAGCTATGAAAACATCAACCGTGGATCCAGGCAGAGGAACCACTGTGGGTGACCCTTGGCAAGTAGATGAACAGACTTCTGGGTCCTTCCCCTGGAGCTCTGGTCTCCCATCAGAGTGCATTGTGCGGGACCAACAAGGGCAAAAGCACCCTTCCTGCCATCTTCTTTGCAAGGAACAGTTCCACTGTCTTTGCCTATTATATATTGTGACAGGGAGCCAGGTAATGGCCACAAGGGGCTGAGAGAAAGAACGGGTATTTGGGGACAGCAGTAGGCTCCCAGGAATGCTACCAGGCCCCTGCACACTTCCAGGGGCATCAGAAATAAGAGGTCCAGCTGTAGACCTACTTCCCCACCCCAGACTGCTGGATCCTCCCTGAGCCTCCCAGAGAAGACAGATTTATGCCATGGTCGTCTGATTCTGTGTCCCTAAGTGGGTTCCCCTAACCACCAAGAAGGGCAACTCCATAGCTTTCCTGGGGAGACCAGGAAAGGGGAGTGGCTCTCAACAGCTCTTGAGCACAGGCAGGCTGTGCTGTTCTCTTCTGGGGATCCAGTTCACTGGTGCGGTGTTGTCCAGGGCTGAGTCTCTCGGTCTCACATTTACTGAGTCTACATGTGTTGCTGAGGGGATCTGGCAGAGTTCCCTGGCCTTGTGTGTCCTGACCCCTCTGGATGTTTTTCTCCACTTCTGCCCCAAAGGTATGTAACAACAGGAAGAATTGCCACTGTGAGGCCCACTGGGCCCCTCCCTTCTGTGACAAGTTTGGCTTTGGAGGAAGCACAGATAGTGGGCCCATCCGGCAAGCAGGTGAGTGGAGCCGCGGCATCCCTGGGAGAGGATGCTGAGCTGCTTGAGGCCGTGGGTACTGGGCAGGTGTCCCCACAATAGGGACTCTGAGTGCCTCTGTCCCAGCCTGAACCTTTCAGGTTCTAAATGCTCTGGCTCTTCCGTGGCCTTTCCTTTTCTTTTCCCCCTCAATGAAACTAAGGCATTATGTTGGCCATTTTCTCTCCCTGTGGCACTTTTCCCAGCTAAGACAATGTCCACAGTGCACTACCAGATGCGTATGAATGTCTCTGTCATATCAAAGGACTCTGTAAAGGGCTGCTTTTGTGTGCTGCCACCCAGTACATTTTAAAACTCTGAACAGAGGAGTGATAGCACACACACACACACACACACACACACACACACAGAGAGAGAGAGAGAGAGAGAGAGAGAGAACAAACAAGAACAGCAAAAGTACGACAGCTACCTCTTAATAAAGAGAATGTCACCACCAGAGAGGGCTCAGCTGCTAAAGTGCTGGCCACTTGTACTTGAGTGTGGATCCACGGAACCCACAGGAGAAGTTGAGCGTGATAGTGCATGTTTGTAATCCCAGCATTGGGGAAGCAGAGATAAGAAAATCACTGGGAGGGCTAAGGTTGGAACTTAATCAACTGGGTGTTTGTCTAGGGTGCATGAGGCCCTAGCTCAGTGATTCTCAACCTGTGGGTCACGACCCTTTGGGTTTGAATGACCTTCTCATGGAGATCACAGAAGAACATGGGCAATCCCTAGTGCTTGAACTGGCTCTTTGGAGCCCATTCCCTATGGAGGGATACCTTGCTCAGCCTAGATACAGTGGGGAGGGCCTTGGTCCTGCCTCAATTGATGTGACAGACTTTGTTGACTCCCCATGGGATGCCTCACACTCTCTAAGGAATAGATGGGAGTGGGGGGAGCAGGAGGAAGGGAGGGAGAAGGAACTGGAATTGGTATGTAAAATAAGATTGCTTTAAAAATATAAAAGAATATCTGCAGATCAGATATTTACATTATGATTCAGAAAAATAGCAAATTACAGTTATGAAGCAATGAAAATAATTATATGGCTGGGGGTCACCACAATATGAGAAACTGTAGTAAGGAGGTATAACATTGGGAGGGTAGAGAACCACTGCTCTAAATTTAATCCCCAGTATGACATACCTGTCATCCTATCTGTGGGAAGGTAGAACCAGGAGGATCAGAGTTCAAGGCTGACCTAAGCTACATAGCAAATTCCAGGCCATCCTGGACTCTATGAGACCCCCATCTCAGAAAAGAGTTATCTATAGAGTAGAGAGATTGCAAATACAGAGAACAGGTAGTGCCAAGGCCTGGGGGCAGGGTGGGGCAGGACAGGATAACAGTCACTGCGGGGCTGCTCCCAGGATACAGATTAGACAGTAGAGTCATGATACTTCCTGGGACACTGGCTTGGACAGCTCAGCAGATGGCACTGCTGTTCATGGCAACAGGCAATCCTGAGGTGCCCGGGTGCCACTTAGGGCCAGGCAAGACTTTGATTGGATCACTTTAAGATGTAAGGTTAATGCAAGGGACTGAAAATTCCCTTTTGAGACCCTTGCTGGTCATTTTTTACTTAGATTTGCTGTGAGGCAACAGAGCTTAGCTGAAGCTCAGGGCTGCTACTAAGCCTAGGAAGGATGCCATTTGACAAGAGCCCAGCAAGGGTGCCCTTCCAGTCATGCAGCTGGCTGGAGGAAGACTGTACTGGTAGCCCCCATAGGACTCATCGGTTAAGGACAAAGTACAGCAACAGGGTTGGTGCCAAGACATTGTGCCCAGAGCTGGGGCAGCTGCTACTTGGATTAGCAGTAGCTGAGCGCTGAAGGGAGACAGGAAGAGGGTAAGTCTGGCTCCCCAGCAGTCTACAGGGACTGTTGGACACCTAGGGTATGCAACTCAACCTGAACATCCCTGGTTGACATACAGACTAGTTAAGGGGTCCCTGTTCCCCAGGACGTCACCATTCTGATGAGCTTCCAAAGAAGCCTCCTGTGATTCCTAGCACCTCCTGGATTACCTCTGGCTATCACTGCAGTCAGGAGGTACCCTGATGGGTTATGTGTTCTCCTACCCACATGTGCTAAATAAAAAGGCATCAACTTACAAAAGAAAAATAATACTATTTTTTTAAAATCTCAAACTAGCTTGAAATTTGCTATGTAGCCAAGGGTAGCCTGGAGCTTCTAATCCTCCTGCCTCTACCTCTCAAGTGCTAGGGTCACAGGTGTGTGCACCATCAGATATGGTTTGTAGGGTCCTGGGGATTGAACTTAAAGAGCTTCCTAAATGTTAGCCATACACTTTACGAACTGAGCTACAGGCCTAGCCTCAGCCCCACAGGTAAAATTTCATAAAGAATGCATGGGTATTCCCAACAATAAGGAGCTTGCCCCCGAAGGCAGTATTAAGTCCCAAACAGACTGGAACCAAATCCAGGGTAACTTCATTTAGGGTACTCTTTTCTTTTCTCGTTCTCTAATTTGAGATGCCCCACGATGAAATCTCAATCAAAAGTAGATAAATGAATGAAAGATAAAAATAAACTCAAACTGAAAGGAGCCTAGAATCCAGGATACGTGGGGAGGGGTCAAAGATGACCTTTTGGGAGGCCCCAATCCTGATAAGATGGTCCCCTGGCACTTTGTGTTAACTCCGGGGGCCACTCTGCCTAGGGAAATCTGTGTGGCCCAGCCAGGGTCCCACCTACCAGACCATGTCCCTGCATTAGCAAGCTCCACAGGTGTCACAGATGAATGATGGTGGCCTAGACCAGAACTCCAGCGCGGCCTTTGAAGAGAGACTAATTTATTAGGACGTCATTCAGGGAGTTACGTGCTCTGGTTCTGTTTGTTCCTTTAAAGCTTGCTCTGCCATAAATGTCACAGTGCGATGTCTTCTGTGTTTTATTGGAACGGCCTCCTCCCCTGAGCCAAATGTGCTTTGTTTCAGATAACCAGGGCTTGACGGTAGGAATCCTGGTGAGCATCCTGTGTCTGCTGGCCGCTGGGTTTGTGGTGTATCTCAAAAGGAAGACCTTGGTGCGGCTGCTGTTCACACACAAGAAAACCACCATAGAAAAGCTGAGGTATGGCCTCTCAAATGACGGCTTCTCGCTGCGGCACCCTCAGCCAGGGAGGGAGGCAGATTTTCTGGAGAGTAACACTGGGTCTTTGGATTGATTTGGTTTGTTTGGCTTTTGTAAATGTCTGCCAGGCCAGCTGTCTCTTTGACTCTCCCTTCAAACTATGTGCCACCCATTACATAAATAAGCGGGGTACTGGTGAATTCCACGGATGAGTCTGCTCTCATCTTTGCGCTAGCATTTTTTTACGAGGCATGCGGACCCTGGAATGTGTTTCTCAGATGGCTGAGCTTCGGGCCCCAATGTGCTGGGAGACACTATTGCTGCAAGGCCAGCTTCATGAGAAACAGCCCCTGTGTGCCCAAAGCTAAGTCTCTATGATCTTAGGCTAGCTAGTTTGATAGGCCAGTGGCCAGAGAGCACAGGTTAGCATTCATGTTCAACTCATAGGCATGTTAGAGCTTTTTTTCCCCTGCATGATTGGCCATGGAGATATATAGATATAGATATACAGACAGACAGACAGACAGACAGACAGACAGACAGACACACACACACACACACACACACACACACACACACACATCAACAGGAACAGGATACGAGGATTATAGCAAGAAGGACAAGCCCTTGCTTAGCAAATGTTGGGTTGCCTTGCAGGTGTGTGCATCCTTCTCGGACACCCGGTGGTTCTCATCTTGGCCAGGCTCACCCCACCCTCGGAAAAGGCCTGCTAATGAGCCGGCCACCACATTCCAACACCTCCAAGGTAGGTCACACAAGGATATGATATGCTGTAAAGGCATGGAGTTTTACAGAATACGGTCGCCTGGGAAAATAGGGCTCCATCATGCCTGTGAAATGCTTCGTCAGCACACTTGGTTCAGCCATACCTCACTGCCCCTGCAATGGTCAGGGCCCAGAGGCGGGCCCCAGAGTAATCGCCTGAGGTCCCTAAAAGGTTCTCACAAGGCAATCAATGTCCCCAGGTTGTGTTGTATTTGGATACAAACCAAGTCAATCTCTACAGTGACCTAGACCTGTCAGGCTCACAGCACCCACACTGGGAATGCAGCCAGAGCAGACTCCTGTTTCCAGGGGTCACCAGCTGTGCCTAGGTGAGTTTTCTGGCCTGGGTCTAAGTTCTACTGACCTAAGTGTTGCCCAAAACTGTGGAATCCATGCCTACTCCATTCTTTTATCCTTGTCCTTGGGTTGGGTTGTCCAGTAGTTCCCCAATGCCTCAATGTTTTGCTTAGCCACAAGAATTCTTAAATATTGAACTCCATTATGGTTTGGATATGAGTTCAACACTGGCCCATGTGTTGCATACTTGACCTCTGGGCGGTGATACCATTTGGTAATGTGGGGGAAACTTCAGGAAGTCAACCCTCCTGGAAGGAGATCAATCCCAAGGCAGGAAGAGGGGATTTGAAGGCTGTACTGGTCCTCTGTCGCTTCCTCCCTTCCTGTTTACCTGTCTGTCCGATGGTTCTGCATACATTTCTATCCTGCTGTTCTGCCTAAGGGAATGGGGCCAGGCAACTGTGGACTGAACCTCTGAAGCCATTAATTAGCCTTACTAAACCTTCCTTCCAAGCCGCTCACACCAGGCACTCTGTTGTAGCAATGCAATGTCTGACTGAGGCAAACTCGGACAAATTGAAACAGGGAACAAGACAGGTGCCATGAAATGAGAAATAACTGAAAAGAACATTACCATCAATGCAGCAGGCAATATATTATTTTACTTCTCTTGGTCTAAAAAGTAGAGGTTGGGCTTCTAAAAGGGACGCCATCGCTCCCAGCAAATGTGCTGCCTCCCTTCGCCTCCAAACCTGGACCCGCCAGCTACAAAAGTGTGTTTTATGGGGGCTAAAAGCAAGATCTAAACACTGGAAGTGCCCCAGAGGTCTGTCAACAGGTGAAGAGATACACAGTGGCATGTCACACAGTGGTTGCTACTCAGCAAGAAGACAGAGTCAGCCACCGACTCGCATGACCTTGTGGGTAAAGCTCAACGTAGCCATCCCAAGCCAGAGAACCCAGGCAGAAAAGGAGCGCATACTCTGAAGTGCCATTTCTGTGCAGCTTTAAAACATAAAAACTCATCTGGAATGATACAAAGAGGATGCCAAGATCTGGGGGAAAGAAAGGGGTGGGGGCAAAAGTGGCAAGGAAGCTCTTCTGGGTGATAGTGACCTTGTCATGGTTGCTATAATAGCCCCATGGGTCTGAACATCAGTCAAGCCAGGCATAGTGGCCCATGCCTGTAATCCCAGTACAGGAAAAGCATCATTGGTTCAAATCACATAAACACGAATGGGCAAAGAAAAAAGTAGAGTAAAGAAAAAAAATACTTAATTCAATTAACTGGGAATCAATCATACCTCAATAAAGTTATTTATAAAAAGAAAGACTATGGAGTGACAGGTCATGCTGCGTCTGCTCTGGTCCTCCTTCTGAACACGAGGGAAGCTTGCCCAGAGATGAGCACCTCGCCTCCAGGGCAGGTAGTTCTCGCATTACCCTTAGCTGTGTGCACACTGAGCCCATGCCTTCTTTATAATGTTCTCGTGATCCAGTCTGTGTCTTCATACTTGGTACTTCATGTTATTTCATCTATTTGCTACTTAGACCAGCTTGAAGATCAATTGATTGATTGATCGATCGATTGATTGACTGAGGTAGAATCTTCTATATAGCAAACACAGGCTTCAAATTCTCAGTCCTCCTACCTCAGCCTTCCGAGTGCTACTGTCACAAGTTTGATTCTTAATGTTTGTTTGTTTGATTGTTTGTTTGTTTGTTTGTTTTAATCTATATAAAAATCATCTCTCCATTTCAGATGTAGGGGATGCTTCCTTTATAATTTTGAGGTGCAAGTAAATAAATACAGTCCTTCATATGGACACTCTGGACTTCCCCTCCCCACTGGTCGTAGACTAGTTAATGCTGTTCTTTCCTCAAGGAGTGAACTCCATCAGAACTGACTCTCTGCTTTGACCATGCAGGACAGGCCGTCACTGCAAAGCCAAAAGATTGACATCAGCAGGCCCCTCAACACTCGAGCCGTCCCTCATCCCCAGTCACCTCGGCGAGTGCTCCCACCTCTCCACCAGGCCCCACGTGCACCTAGCGGCCCTGCCAGGCCCCTGCCTGCCAATCCTGCACTCAGGCAGGCCCAGGTATGCCTCCCGTGCTGACGGGGTGGGATGCAGTTCAAATCCAGGCTCTGCTAGTTGCTAACATGTAAACTTGGACAAATTGTTTAACACACTGATTTATGAAATGGAATTCAGTTAATAAGATGGTTAACAGAAATAACCCATATACAATGCCTATAGTAATTTTTAAAATATTCAGAATTGTTTCCATGCTTATGTACTTTATCATCTAAGCCAGGATTTAAACTTTTTCTACCGTGAAGGCTTTTTACCTGGAGGAATTTTCATAGGACTCTGGGTATATAGGTAAGAAATGATAGGTAAATATTAAAAATCTGTGTTTCCTGTAATTAAGTCTTTGTTTCTGAGAGAGCAGAAAACCTTCAGTGTACAATGGAAACATGGCAGTTCCTAGCAGTCTTGAATCTGAGTCGGTGGTAGATGGTGTGATCGTTTGCACTGCATGTCCAAAACTGAGGCGACAGTGAAGTCACGGGCTGCGACACGGGCCAGCGCTGCCAGACCACCGCAGGTTCAGCACATTTGGCTTTGAAAGAGCTTCCGGTTGCTACATGTTGAGTTAATGACACACAGCTGAAGAAGCTGGGATTTCAAGTATAATATTTTTGAGACTAGTAATGGGTACTGTTGGCAACTCAAATAATGAAACAGAATCATTTTTAAATGCTATTGTTATAGTTTCCTGCGGGATTATTTTTATATATGTATACTTACGCCTTTAGCATAATTGAGGTTATTCTCTGTGCACATGGCTTTACAGCCTGTGATTCTGCTGTAAAGTTGTTTCTACAGACCTTGGCATTGCAGAGCCTATAAAATGTTCTTTAAGCAGCAGCGTGCCGCTTGGATACAGAGTAGCTTTTGAAGGACCAGTGAGTTAGTGGATGTGTTTGATTGCTGTGACGTTTGTTTTATAAACAGCTCTCATTTAGAAGATATAGACAGATGCATTTGGAGTTCCTTTAGGGAAGATTCAAGTGAAATATTAGATTGAAAATACAAGTCTTCAAGTGGTCAGACAAAGTTAAATGTTTGGTTAGAATACTGCATGCATTTAGGTTCTCGTATTGATACCAGCGAGGTCATGATGAGAAAGACAAAGATTGGTGTTTCAAAGCTTTGCTTATTTGATAGGTAAACTGCAACATCTATATTTTCTGTCTGTCCCACAGTTTAATCAGTTCCTGAGAGGGTGCTGAGGCGACCATGGATAAGTGTGCCTGAGTCTTCAGTTTCTGTTTCGACTTAAACATGTCTTAGTATTTGAGGCTCATTTATCCACAGTGTTGTCTCCTCTGCATTTTGAAATTTGGGGCTGGGTGTTGTGTGGGATTTCCTTGGGCTTTTGTGGGAGGCTCAGCAGTACTGACCTCTCTCTCAATCGACAATTACACTTGTAATCATGTTTTCATTATTGCTGTCTCCTGAGGGTCAAAATTGGCCTTGATGGGAAAAAACAGCTCTCTGAAAATGAATCCATCTTTATCCCAGTATTTGATTGCTTCAGGAGAAATGTAGAATTCCAAGCCTTTAGGTCTCACTGACCTCATTTTTAAATAATGGATGACTTAAGATCATGCCTTTGAAGCTAGAAAAATGCCTCAGAGGTTAAGAACATGTACTGCTTTTGTGGAGGACCTGGGTTCAATTTCCAGAACCCACATGACTTCTGCAGGCTTGCACGTGGTGCACATACATACACTTGGACACATGTATACATATGAAATATTTTAGGTGGCCTTTATGGACATCAAGAGTCACTTCAGATGGAATTTTTGCTTTCAGTTAAACAGACGTTTGTAAACCAATGAGAAGCTGATTATATGTGCTCATATATTGATCCTTTCAGCTCTTCCTCCTTCCTCATGTTCTACATCCCATCATTTTTTTTCTGCCTGAAAGAGTTCTGTTCACTATGTATCTTTTAAGAAAGCCTATTGTTGGCATATTACTAGCACCCCTTTGTCTAAGGATATCTTTTTCATCCATGAAGGGTAATTTTGCTGGGTATAGAATTTTAGGTTGACTTTGATAGGGAATGGGGGTCCTTTCATTTCATCTGGACTATACAGTGGTAAGAAATCCACCAAGAGTGCTGTCACACAGTCTCTTCTCTGGGAAAGAAATGCCACCAATCATTTGCAGTGGGGGTGGAGGTGGGGTTCCTTCAGATTGAACAGGAATAAAATCATATATAGTCAAAATAATTGTTTTTCTAGACATTCTTCTTCCCAGGCTTATCCCTACAGAGGGGAGACTTTCTTGTGTTGTTTTTATGTCTTTGGTGCCATTTAGTTATTTCCAGATTGTATATACTTATTTTATTTCTTTTGCTCCTGGCTGGGGCTCTAGCATGCACCTACGTGCACACAGAAGGACCCACCACTGGGTAGTTCCTTGCGTCTAGAGTTCACCAGGTAGTCTTTTTTTTTCTAATTTTCAATTTATATCAACTGCTTGATAATCTTTTTATGCAAGTACTAAAAGGAATAAGGTAAGCTATGCTTATTCCATTTTGCCACAACCTCATTTCCCTTTTCTTTTATTGCTGATAACAAACTAGTTTATATCTAGCAGCTCTTTATAGGGAAAAAGCTTTGGATCTCAGTTAATTTCTCTGTTCTAAAAACTTGTATCCTTGTCAGTTTTGAGCTAAACACGTTACTACCCAGGAAGTCTAGAGCTGGCCATTGGGAGCGCATTTCAGTGAGCTCCAAGGCATGGCTTTAGCGCTGTGCTCTGACTTATCTGCTGCTGTCCCTGGTTCTTTTTAATTTTTTAACTTCACTGTTGAGTCTTCTTTGCTAATGTAAATAGAAATTTCTTTTTAATAAAATTTCTGTACTTTATTGTAGCTGTAGCTTGACTTCTGGCATAGCAGGAACTCTGGTTTTGAATACTGAGTCAATGTAGCTTTCCTTTTGTGAACCTCTCATTCCTTGCATGCTCACAATGCCCTCTCCCACGCACCACTAGTTAGCATCCTGGTCTGGTGTCTTCAGTTGGTTTTGTGGACGGCGGACGGTTTTCTCTTCCATCTGTTTTTCTGGTCTATCTCAGTTTATCCTGCTGGAAGGCAACAGGCACGTCCCAAACATTATCTGGGCTGTGGCCTTACTTAAGAATCTGATGGGAGCCGTGAAGCCCAGGAATGCAGCGGTGCTCAGTGCCTTGCATACATCCCTCGGATACCCCCAGGGCCTGGAAACATCCACCCGGCGGATTCCCTCACACTGAGGCTTCTTATTCCTCTCTCAGCAGTGCCACCGCTGTACAGTGCCAAATGGGGATCAATAGGCCACGTGATCCGAAGAGCTGTGCACAGTGATTTTCTCCCACAGCTATCGGTGCCCACAGAAGTGGCTCCTCCAGAGCAGCCACCCTAAGAGCCTTCTCTGTACAAAGCTAAGGAAATCTTCCCCTTAGGCCACAAATCACTGGGAACTCCACGGTCTCACTCTGAGCTGCGTCTGTCTGGAGTCTTTCAGAGACACATCTCACAGGCTCCCCTCTCCTCACACACAGGGATCTGGAAGCCATTCCAGGCAGGTGTGGGCAGTATCTAGAGGTGACTCTTGCTTGGCCGCAAGAATGGAATCCACTGGCACATTGCAGTTCTGTGGGTGCCATCCCCCACGATAGGATCCAGATGTGCCTGCATGGCTAACTAGGCTATGCTTGTCCAAATTTATCACAGAAACACTCCAGGGATGGACAACATCATGAGAGCTGCATTGGTTAGCTTTGCATTTGACAAGTAAGCATCTTTCTAGAAAACCTGCCATCCTCCACAAACTCAACTCATTGTCTTGTCCACAAATGTGCCTCTTGGAATGTGGGCTTCTCATTCCAAAGGCCTTGTGTTGGACCTTCTTGTACATGCTGTGTGCACATGTGTGGCACTCAGAGGACAACCTTCAGGGGCCAGCGCTCTTTCCACCTTGCGTGAGGCATGCAGTTTTGACAGTAGAGTGAGTCTCTACCTCCATCTTTTTGTAGGCATGCTGTGCCTATGATGTACACCACCTCATCAGGATTTTGTATGTGAGTCCTAGGGATTCGAACTCAGGTCCTTACATTTGAGTGGCAAGCACGTCACCTACTGAGTCATCTCTCTAGCCTTACAGGGTGCCTGGTGTTACTTCTGGAAGAAGGAGAACAGAGAGAAAAAAGGCCCACGGCGGGGAGAATCCCTGGTCTCCCAAGACACCCCAGCTGAAACCCATTGCTCGGCCAGGTCTCATTTATTGGGTTAATTGGGTCACTTACAGCTTAAACAAAAACATACTCAATGCCCCAGGAAATAAATACATTTCTCAGCTTGTGGAAAACAGTGTCTCACGGAGACAGGGCTAAGTCATGGCAGATCTAGCTTTCCACTGTTAGACTTGATGGCATCAGATCCTAAAAAGGTCTGAGTGTTGCCTTCAGTTCATCAGTGACCATTCTCCTAATAAACAGAATCTCGCCTGGGTGCCACCGGCCCAGCACTTACTGAAATTTTCTTTGCTAAATACCTGTCCCTTAGAATGGCATTTGAATGAGGCCTGCTGATGTATGGGCACACTTGATCTAAGACTCCATTTCTCATTACTTCCTAGCATGTTCCAGGAAACTAGGTTATTTAAAGTCTTCTGAGCAAATTACAGACATGAACTCAGGCCTGAGATTATACTCCCAAGTACGTTAGAGAAACAGGGATTCTTAAAAACTCAACCCATTGTTTGGGGATGACTGATGTTTACTGCACCTTGCTTCTTTCTTGAAAATGCTGCCAGGTCCAAGAGAATTTTCAGTCCTGGTTTGTGCACCAAGTACCTACACTGCGGAAACTTCAGCCAAACAGCAATGATGGGATTCACTTTCATAGTTATATTTACCACCAAATTGTGCGTGTGTGTGTGTGTGTGTGTGTGTAATCAAGTGTGCATGTTGTTTTGGTACAAGGAACTTGTGCTTTTAATGGTTATAAAATCATCCAAACACACACTTACTGAGCA